CTCTGATACCGTTTCTGCGTGGATAATAGTATTATTATCAACACGAAAAAACTACTTTTCGAGCCCTGAAGAAGAATTTAATCAAATTCGAAACGTCGGAAAGAATACAATTGTTTTTTTAAGAAAAAATTGATCCTGTTACCCAACCAACCCCCTATTTCAAAAAAATTATTGGATCACTAAACTAGTTAAATAATTATTATGTACATTGATATCTTAATTCATAATTGTTATGTTGATACACATTGTTACGACGTTTCGCAACTGTAGTTTCCTTGTTTTTTTTCACTAACTGGTGGAAACATCTTTTTGTAGGTTAAAAAGAAGAACGACCCATACATATTCATTGAGATATGAAGAAGTCAAACACTGAAGACATTAAAACGAACAAAACTTTTTTAAACAAACTATTAACTTCATTTCTCCATTTACAAAAAAATTGAAAAAATTAAAATATTTTTTTTGTTGGTAACCGAACTTGGATTCAACTTTTAATTGTACGCCTTTCGATACTTCATTGAACGAAAAATATATGTAGTGAATATGAAAAGAAGTTATATAGTTTTTCGTAAGTTATAGAGAATTGAAAAATCGAACATAATAAATGAAATCACCCTGTGTCTTGAATATAAAAAAATCTGGAACCTATTGAATATAAGTTGTTTAGAATGATCTAGGTCCATTATTTACACCTAATATAGTATGCCCTTTTCCAATGAAACTTATTGTATAGCAAGTATATTCAATTGAATACATTCAACTTGATAGTGAAATTGAGTTTCATCACATATTAATCACTAGTAGAACTGTGGATAATTTTGTGTTTCCAAAATTTCATCACTAACATAAGTATCACACTCGTATATCACTGACTGAAAAAGTTACTTGGTATAAGTTTGAATATAATACTTCCATACCATAATCTATTTGGAAATCATTGAAATGATCGTCTCTGTAAGGAACTTAGCTGATAGATTGAAACATTCAGAAAAGAAATTGAATACGAGTATCCTCATAAATAACGCCGGAGTAGGCAGATAACCCTATAAGCTCACGGAAGTTGGTTCGAATTGCACTTTCAGATAAATTAATACGACGGTTTTTTTCTAACTCATTTGTTAGTGTGTATGTGAATATAGTATTCATCTATTCATCTTTTCATTTTCCAGCAGCGTCATTGTCGTTAGTCTTCCTTGATTATTCTTGTTACATCGTCATCTGTTTCTTTTACAAGTTGGAATGAACATCGTGGAGCAAAAAACTGGCTGACGCTTATTCGTACGTTACCGTTCTAAGCTTGAATGTACTGTACTCTTGTTTAGCAGGATTGTCCTGTGGTAATATTCTTTTAATTCTTTGTTCATGGCTTAATATAACTGTACATATTAACTGCGTCTGCTTATATGACTTCGTATGTTTTCGCAATCCCAAGAAAGAAGATCACTCTATACCACTGGACGAATCACCTGAATATAGTTCAGTGAAGTCATCGAAGATGACTCTCAACTTGGTAGTGAAGCTATATAGTTTCATATTACACCATTCAATCTTTTGCAGAGTTTGTGCAGATTATTGTGTTTTCAATAAACAGCGTTCCATCTATACTCAGCTTGAGCTCTTGACTCATGATTCCATCATGACTCACAATCATCAAAATGAGAAATATTTCTGAGGAGTTGCCTGTTTTACGTATATTTTGACGTGAGTAAAAAATAATAAAATATTTCACCTTGATCGATATGTTTGAATAAATTCATTTCTTGAAGTCGACCTTCCATCTGAAGTATATCTTATATTTGAATTAATGATAGGTAAAAGTTGTATTGGTGATAATCATGCAGCCTTCATAATTCAATTGCTATTAAAATGTTTCATTCATGAATAAACATTTCGCTAATTTCATTGTTGTTATGTTTGATCTCTTCTGAAAATGTTTTCAATATCCGTTGGTATTATTTTGGTGACTGTTGGCCTCATCATTTTAATCAGAATTCACGTATTACTCAGTTGTGCCCGGTGCAGAAGTCGAGTTTGCCTGGTGGGAAAAACTGCTTTGATCACAGGAGGAAGTTCAGGTAATTTATTAATGAAACAGCCAAGTCCAGATTGTAGCAGCTGTAGGTATAGCTGCCTATGTGGTAATGTTAGATAATTCTTAGTAATTGTAAGTCTTCTAACTGAAACCACAAATGTGCGGTAGGCTCCTGTTGGTTGCTTCAAGTAGTCGAATTGAAACCAGTCATTACCAAGAGTTCCGTTTTATTCGTAACAAAGTTGACATCTTACATCGAAGAGTATATGCACACTAATCATGTCGCGAGAATCGGGTTTGATACAAATTGGTTGATCATCGCATTATCTGATTGTTTATATATTTGAATTGCAATAGTTCAATGTAGGTACTGAAAATATATAATGAGCCTAGCGTATTTGTTGAACCTAACTATTATAGATACCTGTATCTATAATAGTGCTAATATCTATTTTCCTAATTGAACTGATCATCCAAAACATTTTTTACTGTAATAGATACTTTCTCTAATATGAGTAAATATAATTCTAATTCAGTAATTTCATCCTCTGTTGACCCGCTACTATTGAACTTATGAACTAATTCATTAATAAGTGAACTAACATCTAACCTCTGATACCGTTTCTGCGTGGTTGCTTCACATCGTTTTTCGTAAGAGTCTTTGCGAAGATTTTTTTCAAATTCCACTAGTTGTTCTTCAGCTTCTGTGAACTCATCCAGAATATCTTTGCTGCTCATGAGCCCTGGGTACTAGCATGTTCTGATATTCTCCTTTTCTCCTTTTTAGTTTGAATCAACACCTTCACGAGACCGTCGAAGTTCGCGTAACGCGATTTGTTGTTCCTTTAATTTTTTCATACCATCTCGCATTTCCCTCGATATCAAATAAATGATAATTTTGATAACATTTGTGAATATTAAAACTGGAATTATCATCCCGTCGGTATGTGTGAGTTCGGTGTAACTGGATTGATTTGCATTGTTTGATCCCGTGCCAGCAGTTTGAATCTGCAGTCTTTCTTCGTTTGTAACTTTTGATCCACACATTTTCAACTAGTTTCTTTTTTTCTCTTCACACTGAATGAACTGGAATTGGTTGATCATCACTTATTATCTAATTGTTTATATATTTGAACTACACACAGTTCAATGTACTGAAAAGGTTGCAGTAATTCGTAATCAGGTCGAGGTATAGCTATGGTGAGTTCAATGAACCTGCAACGTTTCTCTACCTAGAATTGCTGAAAAGACAATTGAAAATAACACGAATTTGGTAAACTATTTGAGATGTGAAATATGTGATTCAAATCTTTACCACACCGTTCATTTGTGCTGTTTTTTTGGCAACAAAGTGTTGCCCTTTGCCCTTGGGTACACTGCCCTGATGAAACAAATAGCTAATAGACGCGTGTCTGTGGTTTGAAGTTTGTTTGAAGTCAAAAATCACTTATCGAGGAACAAATACAAATCAAAACACAACAGGACCTAACATTCAGTATATTAAACAAATCAATATAC